GACATCTTAAAAATGCTGATCCCACCCAATACGTTTAGGTTCCAGAGGAGGAAATCAGGGCCCAAAGAGGTAAAATGCGTTACTATTTAGAGGCTATTGATAGAAACACAGCGAGCCTAGGGAGTTTTTAGGACAAGTTGCTCTCTGCAGATCTTCATGACTCACAGCTCGGTCGCTAAGACTGTGGTTTCTTTTGTCAGACTAGGTGAGATTAATTAGACTGGAAAAGAGTTTCCACGCTCCTGCATCTGATTGCTGCAGTGCAAGAAATGGTATCATCCACATGGTTGAGGCAGTGCGAGAGGTGGTTTGGGTTAGCAGACGGTTTCACGAAACACCACTCGGGGCGTTTGCCAAGAGGACTGGCTTGAAAGTCCAGGCATGGGGTGCAGAAGACGGGAAGGCCGGGCCTGTGAGGAAGTCCCTTGCCTTCTGCCAGCTTGGCCCTCACTCTGACCACCTATGAAGCCTGAGGGCAATTAGGTGTCCTGTTCCTCCCCATCCAGGCCCAAGTCACTAACGTATTTTGGGGAAACCCTGGGCACCTTGAAGTTTGTTCCTAAAGTTAATGTAATAATCGTAATGATAATTGCTTATATTTGTCTAGGGATTTTCAGGTTGCAAAGCCTTTCTCTTATATTACCTAAGCTGGGTGTCACCCCTTGCCCATGACACAGGCATATTGGTTTTATTTCTGCTTTATAAATAAACAATGTGACTTTTCCAAAGTAAGAGTTTGTGCCGGGACTGGAGTCAGAACACAGGGCTCCACAATCCTGCTAAGTGCTCTTCTCATAAGAGACTCTTTTTCTAAACAGAGATCTCGGTTATGGTAAAGCACCCATGCACACTTGCTCATCAACAAACAGCTGCTGCTATTATGACTACTGTTATTGTTGTAATTCATAGGCAGGATCTTTGGCCATGCGTAATTTTGGCATGTGACGACTCCAGGACTTGCCGGTTCTCCAGAGTTAGGCAAGAGGTGGAAGCAATGGTTTCCTCTCTTCCTACACCTCCAAACGGTGAGAGCTGGGAGGCACCATATGGCTGTTGCATGAGTAAGCCTTAGGTTTTCCTGAAAAGTGAGTTCCCTGTGTGCCACGTCAATGGAGATCTTTGTGACAACCAACTGGTATGACATCCACCCTGGGGCTGCCTGGCTCTGGAGGGCTGCGTGCGATCTGCCATTTTTTATTTATTTAGTGCCATTTGTTAATGCTTCATTTCTGCAGGGAAAACAGGTTGTCTCGTTTTCCCCTGGCATCTTCCTTGCCCTCCACAATGTAGGACACAACCTTTCTTGTCAGCACGGGCACCTTTAATTGGAGCTGGCACCGGCCTCCTCCTTGAATGTTCTGCCTGATGTCCTGGGATCCTGCGAAAGTTGGTAGTCTTCCCTAATGGTGGAAGTCTAAGGGCATACTTCAGACCGTAGACACGGCTACTGCTTTCCAGAAGAAATAAGCTCTCAAGGAAGATGTTGATTTTTCACACCCCGAGAGAGACATTTAGGAGGCAAACTACTGAACTGCCTCAAGAATATCATTAATCATCCGCTCACAGAGGCGTACCTAGCACCTGTGACACATTTCCTAAATATTTGTTGAACGACCTTGTGAAGTAGTGGTTTCCCAGCCTTCAGTGTGTCCTCCAACACGAGGGGCACTGGCAGGGTCTGCTCCAGCGCGGACTGTGAGGCTCCACCCCCGGAGTTTCTGATTCCGTTGGTCTGGGAAAGGACTAAATACTACGCCTTGTTTTTGCCGGGTGAGTCGGGGAACAGAGTCTCACTCTGTTGCCTAGGTTGGATTTTTTTTGTTGTGGGGGGACAGAGTCTTTGTTGCCTAGGCTGGAGTACAATGGCACGACCTCGGCTCACTGCAACCTCCGCTTCCCAGGTTCAAGTGATTCTTCTTCCTCAGCCTCCCAAGTAGCTGGGATTACAGGTACCTGCCACCATGCTCGGCTAATTTTTTTTTTTTTTTTTTTTTTTTTTAAAGTAGAGACAGGGTTTCACCGTGTTGGCCAGGATGGTCTCAATCTCCTGACCTCACGGTCTGCCCACCTTGGCCTCCCAGAGTGCTGGGATTATAGGCGTGAGCCACTGCGCCCAGCCAATACTATGCCTCTCTAACAAGTTCCTGGTGATGTGATGCTGTGCAGAGGAACCACACTTTGAAAACTTCTGTCCTAAAGCAGGGCTTGGCGAACTTTTCCTAAAAGGGCCAGATAGTAAATGTTTTAGATTTCGTGGGCCACACAGTCTCTGTCACAATTACTTGGCTCTGCCATTGTAGCCAAAGAAAATATGTAAATGAAGGAGCATGCCTGTGTTCCAATAACATTTTATTTACAAAAACAGGCGGTGGACTTGTTTTCAAAAAAAGAAATTGTGTTGCAAATGTAAAAATTTGTTGTAAAGGTGTTAAGAGCCAGATCCTTATTCTGGGTAGATTTCCAAAAGCTCTTGGGATGGGAATCCAGTGTTGATCACGTCGTAGGTCTGTGCTCTCTTAAGCAGTGCAAACATAAAACTTGGAGAGATACAGAGGTTTCTGTTGTTCCTGTGCTAGGGTGGTGTGCAAATGGGTGAAGCATTTCATATTTAAAAAAAAAAATCTGAGGTCTGATGTTCATTAGTCATATGATTTGGGGAAGGTCATTACATCTTTTAAACATAATTAAAACATCTTTTAATTACGCAGTGAAAAGTAGAGGGAATCCTCACTTGTATAAACACTGGGTGGTGCATACACGAGCGGTTTACGATTCTTTATACTTCTCTGTATGATTGAAATATTTCAGATTCTCAAATCTATATCTTTAAAAAGTAGTCATAACAAGCCTTTGACATATATGTGGCGTAGGCTTCAGGTTCCATAGTCAACCAAAATGTGAATTACCTTGTAGTTAGAATGGCCTTTGGAATTCCCCTAAATCACCACCACGGAGGCCCTCAGAAAGTCAGCAGCCAAGAATATTGTACTTTGTGTCACCTTGCATTTGAGAAAGCCTGGGTGAAAGGATAGTTCAAGCGTAGCGTGTCTGCGGTAGACCTCCGGATCTCCTGCCCTTCCCAAGACCCCGCTCGTCTGAGATCTTGCTTGAATCAGTGGATGGACACCTTGCCTTTACAGCTGCTTGGGCCACAAAGAGTGATTCAAGAGGAAAAACTTAAAGGTAAAATGCTCAGAAGAGTGCTGTATCACAGGGTAGGCAGGCACCATTCAGGTAGTGCAGACAAGTGCCTCTGCCTCTGGGGCCTTTGTTTGTTTGTTTATTTGTTTATTTATTTATTTATTTTAAGATAGCATCTCACTCTGTTGGCTTGCCAAAGTCCTGAGATTATAGGCGTGAGCCACAGCACCTGGCCTACTTTTATCTATTAATAAACAGAGCAGGGCGAGTGTGGTGGCTCACACCTGTAATCCCAGCACTTTGGGAGGCGGGTGCATCACCTGAAGTCAGGAGTTCGAGACCAGCCTGAGTAACATGGTGAAACCCTGTCTCTACTAAAAATACAAAAAAATTAGCCAGGAGTGGTGGCAAGTGCCTATAATCCCAGCTACTCGGAAGGTTGAGGCAGGAGAATGGCTTGAACCTGGGAGGTGAGGTTACAGTGAGCTGAGATCATGCCATTACACTCCAGCCTGGATGACAGAGCAAGACTCCATCTCAAATAATAAACAAACAGAAGCCCCGGAAGCAGAGGCGCTTTTCTGCACTACCTACCTACCCTGTGATAGGCACTCCTCTAAGCATTTTACAGAGACTGACTCGTTTTGTCCTTATTTTTAATAACCACATAAGACAGATGCTGTTAATGTCTCAGCTTACAGATGAGGCGGAAAAGATCAATCATTCGTCCAGGGCCATGTCTCTGGGAAGTAGCAGAGCTGGAAGCTGAAGTCCGGCTGTGACTCCGGAGTCTACGCTCTTTAACCACAATGGTCTCTGTATATGATTTTACTTCCCTATCCATAATCTGTCTGTGAATTAAGGAACAGAAGCTTAAAATCTAAAGAAAAAAAAAAGATGTCTAGTTGCACCTCCGGTGCTCTGGGTGGGATGCTAGAGAAGGGAATGAAATCGCAGTGGGCTATGGGGGGGCGTAATGTCAGCGCCTTTGCAGTTTTCATTTGACCCTGCTGGGTTTCCCTGTACAAAAGCATAAAATACTTTGGAGATGGTGCAGAAGCAGGAAAATGTACCTGTCCATTTGGATGCAGATCTGGGTTCAGTGTATTGTATTTCTGGATACCCTGTCCGAGAGGAGATCTCCTGAATGATCCATTTAGGGTTGTTCTGTTCAGCTTCACAGCCACGCCAGTTTTGTGTCTACTGGTGCCTACACTAGGCACTGGGGAGGCAGGGATGCCAAGCTGTTTAAAATACTGTGCTTCCCCCCAAGGGCTTTGATGACTATAGCTCCAGAAGTAATAGCTTTGGTGGAAACCGTGGTCTGTGCAAATTTCACCACATAAAGAGAGGAAACATAAGTATTTGTCATATGAAAACATGATGTGGGCCAGGCGCTGTGGCTCACGCCTGTAATTCCAGCACTTTGGGAAGCTAAGGCCGGTTGATCACCTGAGGTCAGCAATTTGAGACTAACCTGGTCGACATGGTGAAACCCCATCTCTACTAAAAATACACAAATTAGCCGAGCTTGGTGGTGGTGCCTGTAATCCCAGCTACTCAGGAGGCTGAGTCAGGAGAATCACTTGAACCTGGGAGGCGGAGGTTGCAATGAGCTGAGATCACGCCAGTGCTTTCCAGCCTGGCCAACAGAGCAAGACTCCATCTCAAAAAACACCAAAAACAAAAACATGCAGCAAAATCACCACCACCCATTGTGTGACTCCAGAGAACGATGCACAATGTGGTGTTATCAAACCTTGATGTGGGGCTGGGGAGTGGTGGGGCCCGAGTTTGGCTTAATCTAAAAACGTGGTCCTTTCTTGACTGGAATGAGCACTTGCTTCTTCTCCCCCCAGGACCCCAGGAGCAAGCACAAGTTCAAAATCCACACTTATGGAAGCCCCACCTTCTGCGATCACTGTGGGTCACTGCTGTATGGACTTATCCATCAAGGGATGAAATGTGACAGTAAGTAAGTTTTCTTTCCCAGTTCATAGCGAGGCTCTGTAGATCATGTTTAGGATTTGCTGAGCAAGAAAGGCTCAGTAACTTTTCAACACCAACTCTTCAACAGAGAGAATTAGTTCAGACTGACAAAGTGTAGAATCTCCCACTGTCAAAGTTCTAATTTATTAAACTACTTGACTGCCTCAGTATGAACCCAAAAAAAGCACTCTTGCTGTCCCCTTTTTTTATTATTATTATTTTAGTGGCAGAAATCTTCAATTACTATAAAATGTAGCCTAGTCAAACCCCAAAGAAGAGTCCCACCTCCAGATTCCGCATTTGGTTAGGTTTCAAAATAAGCCGAGCAACTGTAGTCATTATCTTCCTGTGTCTTTAATTAGTGAGTGGACGGTGGAAAAATCCGGTAGGCTTTCCTTAAAACTGAAACCAAAATGAACATAAAAACCAGGATAGCATCTTACTTAAAACTTCACTCACCCTGTGTGTTTATGGACAGATCAAATGTATGTCAGCCCAGCTCAAGACACAGGACCATTGACAAGCAGGACACCAGCCCTTTTTTGTTATTTTTTGTTTTGTTTGTATCTCCATCAACTACCAGGAGGAAAGAAAAGCAACTCTTTGCTTTGATCATTCTTAAAGCATGAGATTCCTCAGGCTATGTTTGTTTAAATACAAGTTGATACTTTTGTGGGGGGGGGTGGAAGTTAATTGCCCAGCCTGTTTTTCTAATAGAGCAGGAAGCATTATGGAAATTTCAGCCTATTGCCATTTGCTAGTGACTATTATGACGGCCAGAAGCTGATATTTTTATTTTACATGGAGCAAACTATTTAAAAAAGAACATAAATGGGCATTATAGAGTAGATGGAGAGTTTCTCAGGACACAGATTCTTTACCTTAGGGAGTTGTACAGCATAACAACCAAATGCAATGTTTGCTTGCTTCAGGAAACCCTAGGATTCCAAAGACATGGTTTTCAGGGGTTCCGCAAGGGCTTACAACTTACGTGCCTTTGTAAATATATTTTCACTACTTTAAAACTGGGAACAAAATAAATACTTGAATGTGTTGCATTCTCAGCCTTCACTCCTGGGACAGAACTTGAAATCAGGTTTCTCCTGCAGCATCCACTTCACTGAAGAGCCGGCTGGGATCAGCCAGCATGCTATTAAACCCTGTTCCTGTTTGTACATAGTTTTTTGTATGAATCAGGATTTTTGGATGCTGTGCCACTTTAACCACATACAAAAATTAATGAGATGTGGAGGCTGGTCTGAGACATCAACTTGCATCCCTAACAACTGGTTTCAAAGTTGTGTTTGTATCAGAGGGCTTGCTTGGTGATCCTTGAATGTCTTTATAACACGTAATTGGCACAAATTTGTGTTTGTTAGCTGAGTTTATGCTGATAAAATAACACTCATCTGGTTTACAAAATTAATTCTGCTTAGATTTTGTTTGTAGAATGGTTTCTATTACTAAAAAATTTTGAAAACCGCTGACCCAGACCAATGCTTTTTTGTTTTGTTTTGTTTTAAACTCTTTTCCTTGGGAGTCTCAAGGCTTCTGTGGCTGCCGCCTGTGCTCCTCCCTGGAGAGAGGAGGAAAATAAGCAGATGAGTCCCAGAATTGCAACCCCTACCGTCCTTAACTTCTGCAGCAAGAAACCCTCTTTCCGTGCCCTTCCACGTGGTATGATTGCAGTCCTAGATAGAGTTCCACTTGGGATAGGGCAGGGCCTGGCGGGGAGTCAGCATCAACAACCTGGGTGGGCCACCTCTCATTTTGTAGAGTTAGAAATGAAATTAGAGCAAATGAGCTTCCTGAGATAGACAGCCGAGACTGGAACACGCCGGGTGCCCACCCTCCCTGTTTCCTGTGTGTTTTCCAGAGGCTCCAGCATTTACGTCCTTCAAATGGCAAATTTTGCCCAGACACTTAAAGGTATGACTTGGTTAAGGCAAGTGATATTCACAACACAGCTTTTCAAGAGCCTTTATGTTGGCTAAATTTGAGGTGCACCATTTTGAACACTTAGCCTTGGAAATAGAAGCCTAATAGAATCCACATTTGTGAATCAGCTAATTGTCCTTTATTCAGTATGTCCATTATTCTGCTGTCAGTGTTTAATCGGAGCAATATACATTATTCATGATGCTTTTTGCAATTTACTTTGTCGGGTTAAACACTCAAAATGAAGTGTATCGGAAAGCCCCACCCTGATGAATGCGGAATAATCTTATTAGCTTCCTGGCCAGGAATTGTGAGGATTCCACTGGCCATCCCTCCTTCTGGATGCCTAAAGGTACCAGGACAATAGCGCTGGAACACCTACAGACAGTATTCTGTTTGTTTCCGGTGCACAGGGTTCTTTTCAGGGCTTCTCTGGTTCGTTGCAATAATACTGATCTTTTTTTAATCCTCCCCCTGTCTCACCCACATAATGTCAGCTGTAAGGAATGGCTTATCACGCTAGGCATGTATTTGTTTTACTTGGAATAATATTTAAATATTTGAAGACAGGTTTAAAATATCAAATATAAGTTCTTTGGGCGGGGGGAAACACAGGGAATGTACTTAAAACTTGTTGAAAATACAAGGTTAGCTAAGGAAAGGAAAATTTAATGAATTTTCTGTATTCAGTCCGCAGATTTTCGCTCTTTCTCAGTGTTAAGCCCAGAAAGGCATATAGAATTCACTAGCAAAAAGCATCCTGTGTTTAAGTTGGGTGCAGTGGTTCACATCTGTAGTCCCAGGGCTTTGGGAGGCCCAGGTGGGAGGACCGCTTAAGCCCAGGAGTTGAAGGCTGCAGTGAGCTAGGATGATGCCACTGCACGCCAGCCGGAGTGACAAAAGGAGACCCTGTCTCAAGAAAAAAAAAAAATCCTATGTTTAAAATTTTTATATTATTTTGCCTCTGTGTACATAAAATATTAGTTAAGCTGAGCTTTGTACACATTCACCTGTGTGAATTTTGTATACTGTTAAATATTTGAAACAATCACAGAAGGCCAAGCCGGGATATTTTGCTTCAGTGAAGATTGAACAAATATGGTATGGGTATTTTAAGGATATTGTCACTCACATGAAGCCTGTGCTGTATAGGACATCTGCTAACAGTTCTTTATGTCACCAAAAACATGATAGCAAAGTATCGAGTTGGGGGGTAACTCGTTTTCACTTCTGCTCATGCACCAAAACACTGAGGAGCGGTGGTTGGAGCCCATATGCCCAGCTTACCCTCTGCTTTCTTGATTCACAGCCTGCGACATGAACGTTCACAAGCAGTGTGTCATCAATGTCCCCAGCCTCTGCGGAATGGATCACACAGAGAAGAGGGGGCGGATTTACCTAAAGGCTGAGGTTGCGGATGAAAAGCTCCACGTCACAGGTGAGGCTTGCTCATCCTGGGGCAGCACGGTGGAGAGGCGTTTGGATGAAGGTCACACTGATATTCAGGCAGGGTGGGGGCTGGGCTGGGTGCTCTGAGGCCTCTGGAGAGGCAGTCGGCCTGGTGGAACCATCACTGTCTGGGAGCCCTGCAGCCCTCCAAACCCTCGCCTCAATATACCTCCCAGGAGACGGATCTGCACGCCCGAATCCCCAAATACTCAATGTCACACAAAGTCACAACCCCTGTGTGGATTGGACTGTTCTGACAGCATGGCCTGTGTACTTTCCTCCCAGCAAGGGAGCCAGTTAATCAAAATGCCATTGAAGGGGATGGATCTAGGGCAAGGGGAGGCGGATGGATGGATGATCCAGGTGTTCCGTGGCATTGGGCTGTGATGGCCCGATAAATCCACTTCAGCAACAGCAACAGCCGATGAGTGCTTTTGCTTCCTCTGTGTTAGGTATGGTGCTAGGAACTTCACATCGATTAATAGTTTAGACCTGACACTTAGTGGGGCATTAGCCTCATCTTCCAGAAAAGGCAACTGAGGCACAGAGAGACCAGTAACTCCTAGTGTTAGAGTTAGTGAGGAGCTGGAATAGGAACGGAGGCATTGGATTCCAGTTACTGTGCTTGTGCTTACCACACCTCCTACAGACAGCCAGGTACGGGACGGGATTCCCTATCCACAGGCCTGGTGACTCCCTCCTCCGGGCGGTTTCTGGGTGGGCTCTGCCACAGCGTGGCTTTTCCTTTGGTTTTCCCACCAAATCCACTTTCGGTTAATCAGCACAGTCAGTCAAATTATCCTGGAGTCTTATTGGCTTAGGATGCATTCCGTGTCCCCAAGATGACTTGAGTCCTCTGTACCATGACCCACTCTATGTTAGCGTATGGTTCAACTCTCAGGCATCTGCCGAGTTCCCTGTACCTGGGGGGTCCCTGAGGGACCAAGTGTCTATATTACTCTTGTTGACAAGGGCATTCATTTTCATTTGATCGGCAAAGGTATCTTCCATTTGTATCTAGGAATTTGAAGCTATCATTAACATAATCTATGTTTGTAGATGACAGAAAATATCATAGAAGGGCGTGTGGAGGATCTGTTTAAGAAAAAAAGAGGAAGGCGGTGGGTTCCAAAGAAAGGCTTACTTTTGGCAACATCCTCACATTTTTTCTTTCAAAAATAAGCAAATGTTCTAACCAGGACTGTCCCCTCAGGTTAGAACTCAGAGAACACCAAAGGATTCCAAGGTATCACTAGGAGAGGGTAATAGTTTCCCGTTGGATAACCTTGAAACCACCTATAGCTGATGGTCAAAATGGAGTTGGGAGTGAAATCTCTATCATAGGCACAGAATCCCGTCTGACTTTTTGTAGTTTGGAGAAATTCTTTTATTTCCTCAAGACTATCTCTGTTGTGCCATTTTTCATTTGGGGCTGTGGCTCTCACCTATGTTTCTATTGCTTTGTAATGGGCTGATGCTGTCCTTGGAATCCACTCTGCCTTGTCTCCACTGACAGCCAGGAGCCCTCTGACTGGGCACCGATGCTGTCTGCCCAGAGGAAGACGCTGTTCCTCGGGGGCCATGAGACCTCTCTGTGACATCGCAGCCTTGCTCTTGTTTCTCTTTTCTACTAAGGCTTCCACATTGTCAAAACCATGTATAGGGGGAGCAAATGATGCAGTCCAGGGAGAAATTACCATAAAACCTAGTCTCCAGTCAGGCACAGTGGCTCACACCTGCAATCCCAGAACTTTGGGAGGCCGAGGCAGGCGGATCACAAGGTCAGGAAATCGAGACCATCCTAGCCAACGTGGTGAAACCCCGTCTCTGTTGAAAATACAAAAACTAGCTGGGCATGGTGGCACGCACTTTCAGTCCCAGCTACTCGGGAGGCTGAGGCAGGAGAATCACTTGAACCCAGGGCGCGGGGTTGCAGTAAGCCGAGATTGCACCACTGCACTTCAGCCTGGGCAGCTGAGTGAGACTCCATCTCAAAAAAGAAAAAAAAAAAAAAAAAAAAAAAACCTAGTCTCCTTAGGTGGTGAGGGATCAAGGAGCATAAAATAGAATGTCTATGGGCTAAACATTTCTATGCTTTTCTTAACCGTTTCCTTTATTTCCAAAGCTACTGCTCTAGGCAGTAGAGTAGGCATCACAGGTGAATATTCAGAGTTTAATTATGCGTTTCCATGTGGTTACCTTGTGGCTCACTGTAAGGCAAGAACGCCTGGACAGAGCATTGAAATGTTTCACTAGCATTCTTTGTGTTTCTAGATAAAGCAAAACACGCACTGTGCATGCCGGACATGCCCCATGCCTTCTTCTGTAATAAAAGCAGCAACCATAAGGCACTGTCTGAACCTTTCAGTCTCTCTTATAAGAGGCTTGCAGATCTAAAACTGCACAGAGAGGCACAGATGCCCTGGCTGGGGCGGCACAGGTACGCAGGTGGAAGAGAAAGGTCAGTCCTCATCGTGCAAGAGCTTACATCAGGCTAATTCCTCTACCATTGCCAAGAGTTGAATTTGACTCACAGTTGTAGAATCAGCTTAAGGAGCAATACCTTTCCCTGAGTTGGACATCGACTTTTTACATGTGAAAGCCAGCCAGTATTACTTACGGCACCTATCTAGGCCAAGTCCCTTGAGAATTAGTTTAAAAATTTTTGTAGAGCTATAGCTCCACTCTAGGAATGTGAATTCAGCAAGTGTAATCATAATAATTATGTCTTATTCCATTCAGGCTGCTATCACAAAATACCTTAGACTGGGTAATTTATAAGTAGCAGGAATTTGTGTATCACAATTCTGGATTCTGGGAAGTTCAAGATTGAGGCCTCAGCAGACTCAGTGTCTGGTGAAGGCTCCGTCTCTGCTTCATAGATGGCACTTCTCACCATGTCCTCATATGGCAGAAGGAAGGCAGGCTGTGTTCCCACATGGTGCTGGGAGCAAACATGCTTCCTGTCATCTCTCTCTTTTTTTTTTTAGACAGCATCTCGCTCTGTCAACCAGGCTGGAGTTTAGTGGCACAATCTTGGCTCACAGCAACCTCCGCCTCCTGGGTTCAAGAGATTCCCCTGCCTCCCAAAAGGATTACTTCCCCAAAGGCTCTGCCTCTTATTTCTGTCACACTGGGGATCCAGTCTTAAGATATGAAGTCAGAACCACAGCAAGTAATAGCAGCAGCTCACAGCTATTCAGGGTCTTCCTCCACAGGACCACTTTCTAAGTACTAGCTTTTATCCAAATAAAAGTTAAAGTTACGTACTAACTTTTATTCAAATATGTGAAGAAGTTGACTTTATTATCCTTACTTTATAGGAGGAGAAATGGAGATACAATGAAATGAAGTGACTCACCCAGAGTCACACAGATGGTAAATTGGATGGCTAAATATTTAAATGGCAGACGCACAGAGAAGATATTTTAATGACAGTATCCATAAGAATTGGAATCTTTTTTTAAAGTACAGTTGTGTGTGTGAAGGGAATCCAGTCTTAATTATAGAAAGTCAGGCTCAAGGAAATAACTAATTAGTAATTATATCTTTAAAATTCTTAAAGTAATTTAAGATTTTCAGAAAAGTTGCACACATAGTACAGAGTTCTCGTACACCCTTCACCCAGCAACCCCTGATGTCAATGTCCTTGTATAACTATAGTACCTGATAAATTTATGAAACGTAGGTACTTACATCCGGGCGCAGGGCTAACATCTGTAATCCCAGCACTTTAGGACGTTGTGGTGGGCGGATCACTTGAGATCAGAAGTTTGAGGCCAGCCTAGGCAACATGGTAAAACACCATCTCTACTAAAAATACAAAAAATTATCTGGGCATGGTGGCATGTGCAGGTAGTCCAAGCTACTCGGGAGGCTGAGGTGGGAGAATTGCTTGAACCCAGGAGGTGGAGGTTGCAATGAGCCAAGACTGCACCACTGCACTCCAGCCTGGGCAGCAGATTAAGAGTCCATCTCAAAAGAAAAAGAAAAAAGAAAACTAGGTACCTGCATTAGTTACCAGGAATTGTTTTCAAGAGCCAAATAGACGACATCAGACTCATCTTATTTCAATATAAAAGGACAGCAAGTGGTACCAAGCAAGGCCCCCTTGGGGCGGCACTTGCCAGTGACGGGTGGCATCCCCACCCCCATTACCTGCCTGCACCTTTTCTCAGCCAAATACTTCAGACATGACTTTGTCTTGAGAAATGTTTTCATATCAATTGCTGCCATCTATTGAGTGCTTACTGCATACTTATTGTTCATAGGACTGGACCTTTGTGCTCAGCATTCTATATTCATTGCTTCCTTGACTCCCCAAACAATCCCATGAAGTACATACTATTATTATCCTCCTTTCTGAGATGTGCAAAGGAGCTGAGATTAAGGAAGGAAATCGCTCCAAGTTACAGGGTGGAAAGTGATGGGGCCCGGGCTGCGGCCGGGCCAGGCTTCCACACCCTTGCTTTCACTGCACAGGCTATGAACGTTCCAACTGTCTCTTGTTAATTAGAGTCTCCTTTTGAACAAACAATAAACCCACAAATATTTGCTGAACCCACAGTCAGCACCCCACGAGGTTCCTCGAGGTCACGGAAAATCCAAAAGTGGGACTTAAAACCAGGGAAGAAAAGAGTAACATATGAAGAGAATAAAGAACAGCCCACGTCCAAGTATGATTAAGTGCCAAGTATGTGGTGATGAAATAGCACACCCTTGGGAGATGCCGAGGGTGGGAAGGGGACAGGGAGGGAAGGACCTGTGGAAAAGCAACTGAATACTGTAGATATTTGAGAGGCAGAGAGGGAAGAGAGCTCTGATTGAGAGAGTCAGAGGGCTATGGGAATTAGCCTGGTGGCTTTAATGAGAACACAGATATAAACCATAAGGCATCACAAGCAGGGTTTATGGTCCAAATGCGAGAGGTTTCTTGGAGAATGCATTTCCACCTAAACCCTGAGCAACTGTGTTAATTGCTAGATTAGT